ATTTGCATTAAATACATAGTAAATAGTACATCGTAGAAGCTTTGAGAAAAAGTTAAATCTACGTCACAGAAACTGCAGTTGAAAACAATGCAATAAATCACCCGACTAATAAATGTCGGTTTTTGTAGTTTGTGTTTCAAGTTGAGCTGGGTCAAGACTAAACTCGTTAATCACGACGTGTCACTCAGCATCAAAGTCCTGATTTTGATACTAAATAAGAAGGATTAATTTTGTTCATGGTGAAAGAAATAATTTTATTCTTTACACGCATATAAAAATGTGGGATTTATATGAGGTTATATGAAAAAATAATAATAATAATAAAGATTTTATAGATTTTTATGTATGTGTAGGAGATAATATTATCTCCTATAATATACTAAACACTCATCCCAATTAAGAATAAATCAAGATGATAAGAAACTTTAATATCTTAATATAAGAATGCTAATAATTCGAATCCCGTGATTTTTTTAAGGAGACGCAAAAGTGTTATGTTCCACATAAGAACAAAAATTAATATCATAAATAATTCAAAATTGGTCGAACATATAGAAATATGGAAAAATTATTTGTCCTTTCAAAGCACCTAAGGTTATATCTTTTTAATGATTATAATTATGTATTTTTTATAAGGAGATAATTATATTTACTATCATTTCAGACTTGCTACTTTTATTACCTAATTAGTTACCGTTAGATCAATTTGAAATCAACGATTAAAAAATAAAAAAAAGTAACTATCGTGATTTCAAATTGATCCAACAATAATTAATCAGGTAGTAAAAATAATAAGCATAAAATAATAATAAGTATAACCTTCTCCTAGTTATAATATAATTTTTTTTTTATTCTCTTCAAACACTTTTCAAAAATTTGTCTGTTTATGCGAAGAGAATTTTTTTTTTTTCAAACTATAACTATGTACTCGCTGAAATACATAATTATAATTACTAAAAAGACATAAATTTATGGGTTCTTTTTTTTTTTGCAGTCAATGTAAATAAGTTATCTACATTGAACCCAAAATGATATCGTTTTGAATGAAAATTAAGATATTTTTGTAATTATAATTTATTTCAGGATTATAATAGTTTTTCTCGATCATCATAATTTTTTAACCCAAAACGACGTTGTTTTAAGGTAAATATAGAAAATTTAACTACATTCATTATAGAAACATTAAGGGGGCGTCTGGTACAGGAGAAAAAAAAAATTATCCAGGAATCTCGATTTTTAGAAATATAATTTTTACATTCAGTTTACGATAATATTCAAAAATTTAAAATTTAAAAAAATTTAATTTTTCAAAAATCCTGATATTTTTCATGTACCAAACGCCCCTAAAGCTTAAATTTATTTCCTTTATAACGAGACATACTAAACCCTCAAAACACCTCGCAATTTAAAAAGAAAAAGTCTTGGCTTAGATATTTTGTGGCATCGTCGCCAAAGGTTATATGCCATTAGACTTTGACTAAAAACGATAATAATATTATAATAAGGGTAAGGATCATTTTACACCAGTGTAAGTTACACTCTTAATCTTATCCGTTAAGTCCATTTATATCTAACGCTCACATTTTTTAGAAATGTGAGCCATTGGATATAAGTGGATCAATGGTCAAGATTAAGTGTAAGACTTCTAACTCTTACACCCGTGTATAAGAATATCCTGTACCTTATAATAAAAATGTAAACAGGGCTCAAATAATTAATGCTATAGTAGGAGAACAAAATGATGGAGGTTTTATGTGGACCACCGACACGTGCCGATTTTCACCGACCTCTTGTGAAAAAACAACGTTATCGAGTTGACTTTGTAAGGACAAGCATATCCGAGAGTGGTTTTAACTTTTGAAGTTTGAATCCTTGGCGTTCTTCCACCGAAAGTGAAAGTGGGAGCAATACGTGGATCCTGTGCCTGACACAAACTTGCACTGCTTCGCTCAATCTCTTAAGAAAATTGATCGTGGGCTCTGAAGAATGCGGCTGACCAATTCAAAGCACCAAATACTTTGATTGAACTATTTTTGACAGAAATGCATGCAGGGTTATTACCACAGGTTATTGAACTTTTTTATAATTAAATAGATCAAGTTTTGGAATTTGGATTTCTTCTTGTTTTGGGGGATGAATTTCTTGCTGTTATTAAATCTTGATTTGGAGATTTTGGTAAGATATGTAGATTTTAGCACAATAAAGAGAAAAAGTGAGGCTATAACGAATAATAGATATATTGTTAATTGTCTAATCACTTGCATTGTCACATATTTATTGTATTAATTTTTGTGTCAGTCTTGAAAGTAAATAGTAAAGATACAATCTTTAGAGAGTACGGTTATATTGAGATTTTTTTATTTTATTTTTACAAATTTACAAATTACATTATTATGTCTGACCGGTAATATTGTACTCAAGAGTGTATAATTTGTATGAGTTTATAAACAAAAAATTTACAAATATAACCTTTTCTAACTTCATAAAGTTGTTCTAATAAAAATTTACATAAAAGAAACTTAGCATGGTTATATATATTTGTTAATTTAAAGATTTTAGAATAACATCGCTCTTCAATATGTTAACATATGGCTAGATTAACCCAGAAATGAAAAAGTTAAAAACTTAAAAGAGGTAAAGAGATGGGGATCAGCCAAAATATATGACTTTATACTTTTTGTGGGAGGTTGCTTCTTCTTTTTTCCTTTTTCCTAAACGTGCATAAAAATCTTTTCTAAAGGTTCAAGAGGACGAGAAATTTATGCGTGTTCTATGACACGGGCTAGTTAGTACTTACTTGACTAACAAGTAGTTTCTCCAAGACGTAGCTAAATTCTTAAGCCAATTTTTACTTTCATAAACTGTTATTTCTACATGCTAGCCTTATATATTCAACAATATATATAATAACTAGACTATTCTTTGCCATTTTATTTTATTCTTCTCATTTGCTTGAAAAGGGAAGTCTGAGAAATTTCTTTGAGAAACAACAAGCCCCTCTTTGTGTTGGGAAATTCGTTCCCTCAAACTCCAATGTCAAGCGGGTCCAGGGGAAGCCCGTGGCGGGGAACCACCACCAATGAGCTAAGGCTACACCAACCGTAGCAAGTGGATCCGACACCATGTCTCAACCCAAAACCTTAAGGCATTGGGTTCATGGGTCCTTTTTCACTTATATACTCTTCACTTAGCTCATTACCAACCAATGTGAGACTCATCACACTTGAATATCTCAACAATTCGAAGCGCAAAGTACTCGACCCGCCTCCTAGCCAATCACTAGGCTAGCTCGAGCTCAATCCGGCTCTGATACCAATGTTGGAAAATTTGTTCCCTCAAACTCCAATGTCAAGCGGGTCCAGGAGAAGCCCGTGGCGAGGAACCACCACCAATGAGCTAAGGCTACACCAACCGTAGCAAGTGGATCCGACACCATGTCTCAACCCAAAACCTTAAGGCATTGGGTTCATGAGTCCTTTTTCACTTATATACTCTTCACTTAGCTCATTACCAACCAATGTGAGACTCATCACAATTGAATATCTCAACACTTTGCTCCACTCCTAAGGTGGTGTGGAAGGATAGACGAAACAACATGCTTCATGCAATTTATTAACCATGTTATTAACCAATGTTCATAAATATTTTTGACTTGATTTGATTTAATGTGATTGTAGTAGTTATGTTTAAGTAAACTCCTAACCAATCACTAAGCGACCTTATTAATCTTCTTTAATCATCTTGATAATGATGGAAAGATTAAAAAAATGATAATGTACTACTATTGTATTTGCTAGCTAGCTATAAGTGATTTGAAAAAACTGACAAGCACTTGTGTTAAAGGCCTTGTCAATTAATTTAATAGAATTTGGTAAGAGTAGTTTAATTATTGTATCTTTGGGGTTGAGTAGGAGCAAACCATGGTTCAGATGAAAATTCTGATACTGTGTGCGCTGCTAGAATCAACACTCTTATCTGTCTTTCGCCTGAAATGGAAAATACTTCACCATATACACTTTATTTATATGCTTAGATATCTTCCACCAAAAATAGGTAATAGTTTTTGGGAAAACATTTTCTTTTATTTATTTTTTTAATAGATATGAACCCCATACAAAATGTGTCTATATCATGAAAAAAAAAATCGAAAATTAAAACCTATAATTTTTTTAATAAATTTTGGCCATAATGGCATGAACCACCACCAACCACATTGTTCATTAGGAAAAAAATGGATATTACTTAGCCTGCGCAGTCCCAGTGAAGACATTGGAGAGGTCAGAGAAAATATCTAATTAATAATGTTGCTAGCCAACACATCATGTACGGACAGCAAACAGTTACATAACTGTTACCTCTTTGTTGCACCATGTGGAAAGTTAAGGGTAAAAGATACATAAAATCTGAAAGTGCGTGACTAAAATGTGACCAAAGGTGGTTGGGCTTGAAAGAAAGGAGATTGGTGTTGAAGCAAAGACAGAAGCGTGTGGGCCCCTAAGTGTAGCCAATCAATGAGTTCTTTCCAAGTCTTTGCTTCTTTAATTCAGATTAAAAAGTTGTATTTAAACCCCTTTCATATAAAACTCTCTCCAAACAAAATCACCATTTTGTCTCTCACACAAAAGAAAATCTCCCCTGCTTTCACCATCTGAGTCTCTAGGCTCACAAATTGGCACACAAGAAAAAGCCACGCTTACAACAACAAAGAATAATAGCATCGAAAACCAAGTGGGTTTTAATTCCCGCTCGCTCTCTCTCACTCTCCCTTGATTTTCTGATTTCTGTACACAAGATATTTGAGATGGGTAGCTACAAAGTGAAGAGCTTTTGCATCCGATTCTGTTTTTGACTTGATCGGATCAGCTTCGTATGAACATATAACCCTGACTCCAAAAATTTGGTCTTTTTTTTATTCTCTGACCAAATCTGGATCTGGGTTCATCTTGATTCGAATCTCTCTTCATTAACACATACCCATCTCATCATTTCTGCGTGTGCATACCTCAAAAAAGCTCTTTTTTTTTTTTATAGCTTGAGAGAGAGCGAGCGGAGAGTTATTGGTGCTCATGGCTTCAGCTAAGAACAGTGGCAAATTCATCAAGTGTGTTGATGATGATGACACTCACAAGGTGAAAAATATGGGTGAAAGCCAAGATTGGGAGATTGAAAAGGGAAAGGGTAACGATTCAAGCTTTCAGAGACGCCAATGGAAGCCAGTTTTTGATGACGCTTCCATGTTACATAATAGGCCTCTCAAGAAGCTTCGTAGCCCTGAACGTGAAAACCCAAACCAATTATCCTCTATTCCTCTTCCTACAACTTCACCTCTCAATGTGTGTCCTTCTCCTTCATCCTCTTCAAGAATCATGTTTCCTTTTGCTTTTGATTCTTCCCAACACCCCATGCAGTTCCCAAACCAATTTGGAACCACCAATTTGCCTTTGTTTCGTCCACCAATTCAGCCATCACAAAACCAGCACCAACAGAACCAACAGATGATATCTTTTGGATCCCAACAACAAAACATTGCATACCCACCAACCTTAGCCCGAGATTATGCATTTCTACAGCAACAACAACAACAACAACATCACCATCAGCTTCTTCAGTATTGGGGTGAAGCACTGAATCTAAGTCCAAGAGGAAAAATGATGTTAATGAACAACAACAGGTTGGGACCAGATGGTAGGCCATTGTTTAGGCCACAATCTCAGCCTTATAACACTACAAAGCTCTACAGAGGAGTGAGGCAACGCCATTGGGGAAAATGGGTTGCTGAAATTCGTCTACCTCGAAACAGAACTCGTCTCTGGCTAGGCACATTTGACACAGCAGAAGATGCTGCTATGGCCTATGACCGTGAGGCTTTTAAGTTGAGAGGAGAGAATGCTAGACTCAATTTCCCTGAGCTCTTTCTTAACAAGGATAAACCACCTTCTTCTTCACCAGCTCCAACAACAACAACTTCTTCTGCTTCTGCTTCTGCTTCTGCTTGTTCTCCATCTCACAGCACTACAAAACAGCCTGAACTTGTTCCTGAACCACCAACAGAAGAGTCTGCTGAGAATGATTCAGGAATTGGATCGAGTGATGCTACTACTGTGAGTGATGAGGTTCATGCAGCTGCTGCAGGTTCTGAAGTAGTTGAAGGAGTTTCACAGGAATTGGTTTGGAGTGAAATGTCAGCATGGTTCAATGCTATTCCAGCTGCTTGGGGTCCAGGTAGTCCTGTGTGGGATGATTTGGACACTACCAATAACCTTCTTTTGCAGTCACACATTCCTTTTGTCAATTCAGATCAACAACAAGATACTAATGCTTATGATGCTCAGAGACAAGAACATAACATGGAACCAGGTTCTTCCATTAGGCCTTTCTTCTGGAATGATCAGGATTGAATTGAACTTTTTCTTCTTCAAAACATGACAGGATCTCTTTTTCTCTGTCTCTCTACTTTAGATATCCCCAGGTTGCTTCTTTTTCCTCCTGGTTGCAGATTCACCTTTTCAAATTCAGGCTTCTTATGTTCTCACTGGTTGCAGATATTTTCACCAAAACAACCTGTGAAAACTTGGATCCATGATTATTTCTTCACCATCTTTCCTTCAACTTCTTCTCTAAACATTTGAAACTTTCTGCTGTAACAAGGCTCCTTATATTTCTGGGCCTTTCAGCATTTCGGCTCATACTTCCTTCATGGGTCTTACTCTTTACCTATGTTCCTTCAACCTTTTTCTCTTTTCTTTTTTTTTCTTTACTCTTTCTTAGTACTTTGTTGCACTTTTATTTATGTAGTAATAAGGTAGATTAGCATATGACCAGGGTAAGAAGGAAACAGTTTTGTGATTTCCTTCTTGGTTGTTCCATCCTTTATGAGCTATATTTTTCAGCTCCCAAGGATGGATTTATATTACTTCATTTGTAGTTTGTGTACGTTGTCATGTTTATGTATCCTTTCTAGTTGTTAAATTAAATATCCATTTGCAGTATCACAGCATGTATATTAATGTCATTGTAATTATCATACTTTTCTTATGGTCCACCTTTCACCTTTTTATTGTTTTGTCATTAACTGAAGGCTATACTCTCATGGCCAATCAAAAAATTAAACTTAACAAAGAGGCAAAATGTTTAAATTCGCGTTCAACGTCACGTCTAAGTCTTGGTTCCCTACTCTGATATTCAAAGCAGATAATTTTGACTAACAAATATCTATACCAAGATCACCACCGTCTTTGGGAAGCAATTTGAATTTATAGTTCCCAGACGTTTCAGCACGCAATATATTTAGCATAACTATGCTTGATTTAATAGTGGGGTTTGAGATAGATGATAAAATAATTCTCGTGCATTAATTTTTCATCTTGCTAGCTGTTGAGAGGTCAACTTAAGCCGCACTGACTAGTACTTAAATGAGTTGCCAACGGGAAAAATATCTGGCATGACACTACTCACTAGTCCTAGTATTTAATATTAGGGTTTTGTTTTTATCATGTTACATGATAACAAATCATTTTCTTACACACTCATTATATATGTGGGTTTCATTAAATAGTGGAGTGAGAAAAAAATCAAAAATGAAACCCAACTTGAATTGTGTGTAGAAAAATTAATTTGTTATCATATAACATGACAAACCATTTCCCCTTAATATTAATGTATATACTAATTTTCTTCTAAAAAAATTATCAATTTTTTTTTCATTTTTAAAAAAGTATTTAACAATTAATCCCACTTTGAACTCAAAAATGATCACATGGGTCTATTAACCATTCTATATTTACACCTGCCATGATCTCATTTGTCTTTTGATCATAATTAACCGAGTGGTGAATAATATTACGCAACATATAAAATTGGAGTTTAAGGCAAGATTAGACCCGCATGATCAACTCTAATTAAACTAAGATATATTGGTAAATAAATTTTTACAATTAATAATTTTTTTAAAGGAAGACATTTTGATCAATCACCCCATATTTTAAATTTCATCTCTTTTGTTATTCCCTCTCTCTAGTTTTAGGAAACTTGTGTATAACCTATATTGCATCAACACCGATATGGGATACGACATGATACGCTGATATGTTAATTTGACACGTTAGGACATATTTTGATATTAAATAATATTTTTAATATATATATATAATATAGTTTAAATTTAATACATATAACAATCCATTAATAAGTTATATAACCAATCAAATATTCAAATTCTATAATATAAATATAAAGCAAAAATAATTTTTCATGTCAAATTTCATAACAGAAAATATTTAATTTATAAATTAATTTTTATGTTTAGTTAAAAAGATAAAACAAAATAAAATTCGAATCTAAAATAAAAGTGTCTAAAAATGTTAATCGTATGATTGTGTGTTGAAGTGTTAACCGCGTGTCAAAAAATATGAACCGCGTGTTGAAACATGTCGATATTTAACAATGTCCGACACTCATTTTTCTTTCAAATTGACGTGTATGTACTTCTTAGTGTATAACCAAAATGAGATCCGATTGTCCACAAGAAAAAAAATAATTGAAATCATAGTTATTTTTTGGGCAAATATAATAATTGAAATCATTCTCTTATGTTGTTGGAAAAGAAAAAAAAATTTGCAAAAAAAAAAATAACTATGTACTGCGAGTAGTATATAATTGTAATATTAAAGTTTTTTTTTCTCTCCTCAGATGTTATCGATTGATGTGGAGGAAAAAGAAAAAATTATTTTATGATTACAACTATATACTAATCATAGTACATAGTTATTTTTTTTTTGCAGAAATAATTCTTTTATACAACATGAGAAAAATCGAATCCATATAATAATGAGTAGGGTTATATTAACAAAAAAAAATTTACAAACTTACAAACTATACTATGTCTGACCGGTAATCTATTCAAGAGTGTATTACCGGTTAAACATAGTATAATTTTTAAGAGTTTGTAAGCAAAAAGTTTGTAAATATAACATTTTCCTATAATAATATAAAGAGTTAACTAAAAGTCTCAAAATATCAAAATCGCCCACTGAGCATGCGCGCATTTGTAACTGATCTTGTGAATTTTCTTTTGGTTTATTATACTTCCTGGTGATCATGCATGCTTTTCAACAAGAAGAATTATGTATTATATGTGTAATATTTTAAGAGAAATTATACTCTCTGTAAAAAAATATTAACAATTCCATGAACGAAATATGCAAAGAAAAATGTTGTGACATGAATAAATACGTGGATCAACTGGTAATATAGTATTTTAACTTAATAAATGGTCTAAAATTCGAGTCTTGAGTATGCAGCTGAATTAAAATTTTGAATTAAAATTTTGATAGGGAGAATTTTGACACCCTTGAATCCTACCTAACTCGACCGAATTAGTCAATTAATTAATAAACTAGTAAAAAAATCTAAAAATAATAATAATAATATTAAAAACACCCGTACTTCAGACACAAATTGATTTTAAAGGGTCTTAATTTTAAAATATTTCAATTGAGAATCTTAATGGATTTAATCAAATTCCGGCATGTAATTGGTATCGAAAATTGCTAACTGGATATTAAAAACTGCCCATTAAACTAATTTAAGTAGTTTTTTAATTTAAATAAAAAATAAATTCAATCATTTTGTTTATACTGATTTAATAAAAATTAACATTTTATATTCTCTAAAAATTTTACAATAACACAATAAATGACGTATTATTAATATTGATAAACATTAAGCACACAGTAACAAATATATCATTCAGTATTATATTTTAATGACACTGACTACAAATATTAATATCAAGTACCTGCGCTAGTTTTTAATTAACCACATATTAAAAGTAATACATTAAAAAAAAAAAACTGATGTTAAGGCTAATGATAATGAGCTATTTTTATTTTTTTGACAGAATATGAATCCCGCCAAATATGGAATTGTTTCTTGTATCTGCGAGACAAACGAGATACAAATAAGGACAAAAGTAAACACTACCTTTCCTCATTAATTATTGTAACTGATATTTTATTTTCAAAGGGTAATTAATTATGATGGACACAGGTGGGCCCTATCACCGGCCCATGATCTCATCTACATTTCTTATTTGTGACGGCACGATAACGATGAGTTTTAACATGATTAATAATGATTTTAATCCATAATCATGTGGTTAATTAAACAGCATGATTATTTTTTATATATGATGATCAACATGTTGAAGGCAATAATGAACCGTAAACAAAATATCTAAGAGTAGGATGCTAGTGACGTAGCCATAATTAAGTAAGTTTTCTGCTAATCCTAATCTGAACCAAACCCATTTTTTTATTGTCGCTCTGATGCTGGAGGCTGCCATCAACATTTCTTAGTTAAAAAACGTTTAAAGCAAACAGGAAATTTCCATTGTATTTTTCATTTTTTTCTTACAAGTATAGTAGATTTGGTATGTCCCTTTTGAACATAATATTATTATTTTTTAAATATAATTTTGGTCCCATACTTATTTTTAATTTAATCTTTATAAGAAAATCAATTTAACTGTAATCATTTTTATTTTTTTATTGTTGATATCACATCATCTATTGGAGTTATAAACTCCAAATAGATAGAGTCACTCTTAGGCATCCATTGGATTCATCGCTTACATAGAAATGTTTGAATCGATGGGAAAACTAAAGTGAATTATTTGCTTTTTTTTTTTTTTTTGTATATAAAAGTGAATTATTTGCTGAACTGGTTTGTTTGGAAATATTCAAGTGAAAGTGGTCCAAGTCCTATATTAGTTAGACATAAATTAAGTAAAAATCATGTAAATGTGAAAGATTCATAAATTTATATTCTTTAGGTTTGAGTTAAGATGTAAATTCAATTCACTTATTATGATTTGTCATTTAATCCATTAATAAAATATCTTTTATAAAGGATTCCGTAGTTAGACATAGATCAAGCAAAAATTATATAAATGCGAAATATTCATAAATTTATATTCTTTAGATTTGGGTTAAGACGTAAATTCAATTCATTTATTATCATTCGTCATTTAATCCATTGGTAAAATATCTTTTGTAAAGGATTTCAAACTCTCCCCAATATCAATGACTCAAAAGTGGAAATTTATGCATTCAATAATCAGAAAAACATTTATTTATTTATTTTAGTAATAATAAGCAGCCACGATGGTTTGTCATAAATTTTGATAGTTTCATAGTCTTGCTTATAAGTATAGGAAGCAATCAAGGCTTTGTAAAACAAGATTACCACCTAAAAATTCATGCATGACCACTAATTAGATCCAACCATTGAATCATATGTGAAGATAACAATACGCAGGTATTTAAGTACTACTAAAATATAATTCACAAGAACATACTAACACGAGTAAAGATTTGCTTGCAACAAATTTTGTTAGCAAAGCAACAAGAGCTATAGTTGAACCAAAACCCTTTTATTTTATATTCTCTAATGAAAGATGCACCTGAATCAAAGAAATACAAATAATTTAAGATTCATAATCCAAATCAAATGGTAAGTCATGGTTCAAAACTAACTATACAATTATTATCGAGGACACAATCAGAGCAAAAAAGCTATGATGCTACAATCTAGCCAAATTAATATTTCCTATTCTAATCTACATTCTCTACCTTCGCAAGTGGAACCACTCTCTTCTAAATGGCTTCCACTGGTTGGTGAGAGTTCTCCACAAATCTTCAAGATTGCTTGTCATTGCTCTCCATGTTTTGGTTCAACAATACCTCTCTTCAATACATTCTTCTGGTATTTATGCC